GTGGGTGAGGCCACTAAAGCCTTGGGAGACACGCTTGAGTGGATTAAAAATGCCATTGATATGAAAGAGATATGATTCCATGAGTACGTACCTTAGCTTTAGTCCTTGTTGAACAACTTTCACATATTGCCGAACGTGTTCGAGTTCATTGAGTTTTCGGTGTAGGTCTTCAAAGCCTTCGAGCAAAGTTGGTTGTGTTATTCCATGCTCATAGGAGGATACAATTTCCTCAGATAGCGCAGTGATATCATCGCTTAGGATATGTCGTAACAGCGCAGCATCCTGAGCTGTTGTCACTGTCTCCCGAATTTGTTCAATGCAGGATGCTCGCTCTTGTGTCACTTTTTCGGTGGATTTTGCTAGCTAAAAGTTTCTCTTAGTATTTAGTTGGCAGTTTACGACTGTACAGCTCACCTCGGACTGTAGTTTTGACGATTCACGTTCTGATAGCTCGACCCAGTCAGCAAAGTCTGGTAGCTTCAACAATGCATCCCATGTTGGAAGCCGAGAATTTAATAGATTCAAAGTCTTAAGCTCAGCTTCATCCTTGGATGGGGGCTGTTGTAGTAAACGGAGTTCATCCATGAGCTGGCTGCCTGCCACCTTCAAATTTGCATTGGGTAGATAAACTCAAAATATGGTACATATGGGAACTCAAATTTGTGGGACAGCATGTCCATCTGCTCTCAAGTCAGATCCAGCAGCCCATACGAGACTTCCATCTGCTGTCTTGAGCTTTTGAATAATCTGTCCACGACCCATCATTCCTCTCTGCGGACCTGTCACTTGACGGGCATCATGACCCATTCCTGTTCAAAGTAAGCAAGTGAGATTAACGTGACTGAGGAGTAAGTACCTCTCAAGGTCTGAACTACGGCGTCGGTGATCCCTGGTTCAAAGTATACTTCACTATTGATATTTCCGGCATCCTGTGCTTCTTTGACTGGTGCATCCGGAAGGCCTGGAGATATGCAGAAACGAGGGGCATCTAGAGCATCCAGGGGATTCCATCCCCTAAGCAGGTTCAAGAGGACTTGAACATGGCCTGTCGGAATGTTGATCATTCATGATCTTATGGTCACAATCGATTTCATACCCTGTGGTTGCATGAATCCGCCCATTACACCATAGGTGATGAATAACTCCTCTCCACGAGTGACCAATGCTGGAATGATCGTGTGATATGGTCTCTTTCCTCCCTTTAAACAAGATTCAGAAGTTATGTTTGAGAATTCAATCTATAATGCCCACCTCAAGACAATTCGGGTGGTTCTCTTCAAGAACGAAGCAGCTACCACGGTTTTGTAGTGTAAACCCACACCCTTTGGGTATGGCTATCATCAAATCAGCAAGAGTTCGATATGTAATTGATAGAGAGCTCACCTCCTGTCCCAAATCCAGCATAGTTGCTTTGAATATAGCTCGCGGCATTTCCCCACTGATCCGTGACTAGAAGGTGACATAAGCAATGGGGTGTTTTCTCTCCGTGATACGCACCAGTAAAGTAAACTGTGTCGGAAGAA